AGGAAGTTCGTAAGTTTGAAGCCACTTGGACTATGAAGTGTGATCCTGTCTAAAACAAAAGGGGGGTCAAGGGAGAGAAATTTCCAGTATACTTTATCAAGGTGGGCAGCTGATAAGAGTGAGCGAGAGTGCATGTGCAACCAGTCTTGAGGAATCCACAGAAAGAGTTAAACAGTGAGGCTCAGGGGCTTCACTGAGAGATGGTCCAATCGTTAAGAGCATTTGCTGCTCTTTCAGAGGACATGGGGTCAATTCTCTACACCCACAGTGCAGCTCACAACCACCAGTAATTCCAGTTCCAGGGGATTCTATGCCTTCTTCTGGCCTCTGCAGGTATCAGGTACTAGGCATGTATGTGGTATATGTATATGCAGGCAAAATAACCATACACAGAAAATAAAAATAGATCCTATATATTTTTTAAAAAGAGGCAGTGAAACCCAGAACAGACCATGCTTTTGGCAAAATCAGGAAAGGCAAAAAGGATAGAGATGCCACAACTTGGGGATAAATGCCTCAACATCCCATAAGCTACTAAGTCTGAATACTGTCATATCCTAGGGTTCCTTCCAGAGTTTTAGAGACACCTAAGTGCTATCTATACACAAATGCAGCGAAGACTACTATGCATTTTAGTCAAATTGATATTTGGAAATGACAGCGAATTCTCAGTTCGTATCTGCCTTCAAGGTCTTTTAGAGAGGAGATATGACAGTGGGCAAGCCTTTCTGAAAGGAAAGAGATGCAGCTTCCTGGCTTAATTGCTTGGTGCTCCCTGGGGGAGTAGGAAGATGGTCTGTCCAGCCTTCCTCTTTCTACCTGGACTATGTAGCTTCTGTACAAATGGAAGCTCTTTCTAGATCAAGACAGGGCGTGAACTCCAGACATGACCAGAACTCTCGGACAAGAGACCTCTAATGGACTTAAGTCTAGACAGATTGTGTGCAGTATAGACAACTGTGAAAAGCTGGTCAGGGACAAGAGCTGTGGATGTGTTCAAGAGTCTCATCACAGGCCTAGTACAAAAACATCCAAACTGCCAAGGGAAGACCCTGGCATTGCCAAAATGGCAGATATCAGAAACAAAAGGGCAATAGGTCAAAGTGCAATCTCAACAATAGCCCACACTGACTAATTGTGTGCTAGGCATGGGGCAGAGTCCTTTACGGGATTATCTCATTTAGGAAATTGAAAGAGGTAGATGAAGAACGTATACAAACTTAACAGTTGAAGTCGTCATATCCCAAGGCACTCGATACTGCAGTTAGAGTAGTTAAGTTTTGGAGACAGTATTCTGAGTGGAATCAACTATAGGGTTACACATAAAGTTGTTAAACTAAAAAAGAAGAGGACCTCATCGTGGAAGAAAGTGGAGAAGGAAGCAGGGATCCAGTTTTCTATAAAGGAGCAGCTGCTGGGCATGGCGTGTCAATCAAAGCTCCAGCTGCCAGCCCGAGAGCAGGCTCCTAACTGCATCCAGATGTTAAGATTAGGGGCAAGGGGGCTGGAAAAATGGTTCAGAGGTTAAGAGCACTGGTTGCTCTTCCAGAAGTCATGAGTTCAATTCCCAGCAACCACATGGCAGCTCACAACCATCCGTAATGAAATCTGATGCGGTCTTCCCTCTTCTGACGTGCAGGCAAATGTGCAAGTAGAACATTGTATGCATAATAAATAAATAAAATAACACAAAAGATTTAGGGGCAAGAAGCAGGAAATGCCTGTCCAAATCACAAAGGAGCCACCAGGACCAACAGAGACAATCACTAAACTGTGAGAAGGTAAAGACCCAATCTCAACCCTCAGTCTTCCAAGAAGACCTGCGGGTGGCCTCTTACCAGCCACAGAGTCAGTCAAACCAGAAACAAACAGGGAAAAGCATATTTGTAAAACTACCAAACAAGACTGTCCCTCAATGGGTGCTGTAGAGACAACACTGTACGCATAGGGACTGTGTTTAAGACAAAAGCCTGATACAAGCTAGAGTCATTTGGAAAGAGGGAACTTCAACTGAGAAAAGGCTTCCATCAGACTGGCCTGTAGGGAATCATGGAGGGGGAATTTTCTTGATATTAATCAAGATTGATGTGGGGGGAAGCCCCCTGTGGGTGGTGCCACTGTTAGCAGGTGGTCCTAGGTTGTATAAGAAAGCAGGTTGAACAGTTGGTAAAGAGCAAGCCAGTAAGTAGCATCCCCCATGGTCTCGAGTTCCTGCCCTGACCGTGAGCTAGAAGACAAAATAAACCCTTTTCTCCCCAAGTTTCTGTTGGTCATGTTGTTTATCGCTGCAATAGATAGCAGGTTAAGAAAATCATTAGCAGTATATATTTGAAGAAAAGGTTGTCAAAACCCTATAGCTGAGAGGAATAAAAGGAGACCATTAAATAATTTATGTACAATTTCAATTGGGGGAATCATAAATGGAATGTTTTTTCTCTAGGTCAGGATACTGTTAAAAATATGCCTTAACAATAGCATAAAATGCTATGGGGGGGGGAAAGCCAGCAAAAACTGGCTAAGTGATTCTAGGCTGCTAGTTTTCAAGCTTCCATCACTCCAGGAATAATACCTTGAACATCCTTCTCTATCCTTGTACTTAATATTTTCCTTTAAATTGGTACTCATTTTAAATTTACATATGCTTTTTAAAAGACAAACCATTATATCAGGACTATAAAAAGAACCCTGATATCACTTGCTGTAAATAGGAGAGGTAACAATAAAAACAAGCACTCTTATGTAATAAAAACCAAAACAACATTATACAGCTCTAGCTAGATACTATTACACGTGTCAAAGGCTTTCAGCCTGGGGCCTGCTCTCTTTTCAAAGGGAAGACTGGCAAGTGATAGCTACTCAAGGACAGAGTGGAAAGTTTCTCCTTGAAATGATAGACAAGGACTAGAAGAGAATTAGGAAGGCACATCGCGTTCATGGTGTGATTTAATGTCAATGTCCGGGTATCATGGGTAGTGTCTCTTATGAACTATAGCCTAAACTATGATTTGAATTCATGGATATGCATGTGTGGGGAACACAGCTTGTGAGCCTCTGAAATGAAATGGAAATAAGATGGGAAATCAGAAAAAAAGGGCTTTATTTATGTATTCTAATAAAAAAAAAGCACATTAAGAAATTGGAGCAGAAGACATACAAACACAGGGCAAAACTAAAGAAACCAGGAGGGTGAGCTTAGGCTTGAAAGTTATCAAAGACAGCTCACAAAACAGAGAAGCTGGTTCCAAAGTGGGACTGTGCTCCGTCAGATGCCCCATCAGTAAGAAATGGAGAGCGGAGATACCCGAATGAGTACAAAGGTTAAGGAAGGCTACAGGCTATATCAATGTTGCATGGACCTCTGTTCTTGAGGGGGTGTGAGAGAGATAGTTGACACCTCTCTAGAGCCCAGTGAGATCATGGCATGACCTACCCAGCTGGCAGAAGTAACAGGACCAACTGGCGTGTCAGGTATTCCAACTTCTTCATTTTTCCCTGGTGGGGGAGGGATGGGAATTTGTCCAGCTGAGTTTTACTTCTCAGAGAGCTGTTTTGCATGTAGATTTTGAATTGCCCATCACTTAATTTGTTTTTCTAGGAGGTAATAAAAAATGTAATTTATAACTGGTGGGTTCAGTGACCAGAGAGAGTGATAAAATTCCAAACCCAAAGCATTGCTATTCAGTACCTTTTTCAATTCTACTATATAATCTGGTTTACAGCAAGGCAAAGATGGGCCACTTGGGGCTACTGTAGTTGCCATTTATACCTCAGAAAATAGTGCCTAATGATTAGGGAAGGGTAAGTAAATAGAAGACCAATAAAGCTCAAGGTAAAATCTAAACAGATCACATCAGAAGTTACACAGATGCTAGCCAACATAAAACTGTTATGTTGCCTTAAAAATTGTACCATCTGTTTTACAATTGTGACTCAGACATAAGAAACCTTAACCACTTTATGTTATACCTAACATAAAATGTAAATACTTTTTAATATTCTACTTTCAAAGTATTTAACATATTATGTCCCCCCTTTAAGACACAATACAGTCTGACCTTGAACCCACTTATATAGTTCAACCTGACCTCAAGGTCACGATCCTCCTGTCTCAGTGTTCCTAGTATTGGGATTACAGCTGTATGCTATTACATCAAGCCTTTCTCTATTACATATTTTTAAGATTCAAAACAACATCTCTAAAGAACTACTCCAAACTCAGCTCTCTAATTTTTACTTTTCCTTTCAGTTTTTTCTTGTTGTTCTCACATTGATGTATTGAAGGAGAGAACAATACATGCAAGATTTCCTCTATTTTAATGTACAATTAAAATTGTATTTTAGGGCTGGAGAGATGTCTCAGCAACTAAGAGCCCTGAGTGCTCTTCCAGAGGACTCAGGTTCAATTCCCAGTACCCACATGACAACTCATTACCATCCCTTGGAAACTCAAGTCCCAGGGGATCTGAGGCCCCCTCCTGGCCTTCTTGGGCTCTCTACCCAGGTACTGTATAGACATACATTCTAGCAAAACACTCATACATATAAAATAAAAATAAATAAAATTGCTAAAAAAAATTAAAGCAGTATTTTACATGTGTATAATGTATTACATTCTACTCACATATTTTCACCATGACTCTCCGAGGCAAGTAGACTTTACAGAGGGTAAACAGGCAAGGTTGAATGCTTGCCTCATGCACACTCAGCCTGTAAACTGCAGGTGACATTTGAAATGAGCCTCAACTGAAGGTGGTGTTCTGCCTGGGGAGAAGAGGCTGGTTGTCTCCTCAGACCTCACAGGTAGCCTTATTTCACTAAGATGCTTTGTTTGTAGGCAGTAGGCACTGCTTGAAAGACTTTTCCTAAGGAGATGTGACACACATCTACTCCCCCTAGAAAGAGAACTCACAACAGTCCAAAGTAATTATTGCACCGATGTCCAAGTTGGTGAACCAGGGCGTTGGGGTTCCCACCAAAAGTATGGATGAAGGCTTACTTACAGGAGCCGGGATGACTCTGAAGGAGCTGTGTCTTGGGAAGCCCGCCAAAGCCAAAGCATAGGTGATGCCTCATCAGAGGAACACTAGAGCTCTCTGTACAACTGCCACAGGTCCGAGAGATCTCTCTGCTGTGTGCCTGGTGGGTCTCCCAGCAGCTTGGAACTGTTTCTGTAAAGCAGAGGAATGTGTCTTTCAGAACCCTGCAAGTTTCACCTTTCCCAGTCATGTGATGTTTGTTTACCACCTGGGTCTCAAAAGCCTTCCATCTACCTCTTGGAGGGAATGTTTCAGTTCCCCGTAAATAGTAGGATCTGTTCCCAGATTGTTCTCAGAGTTATGTGAATACCACTACTAAGCATACAAGAGACTGAAACCTAAACCCTCAGTCTGGTTTATGTATTGTGAGAACCAATGTGACTTCACAGACCACTCAGAGCCAGTTTCTGGTATAGCTAGTGTGTACTGTTCCTGCTAGCAAGCCCTATAATGAGAGTCAATGATGGCAAGCCCTATAATGAGACTCAATGATGGGCATGATGGGCGGAAGGTGGCAGATGCTGGGCAGGGGACAAAGAGAAAAATGGCATGTACTGATGCTTGTGATGTGCCTTTCATCATTGTTGTCACTACACTGTCACCAGTACTTACTGCCATCATTGGTCCCAGTCTAGAAGGGAGATGAAGATGCAAGCAGATTAATTATTTTGCCCAAGAATTTGTTTGATTTTATTTGTAGGTATTGCTTCTTGACGTTGTCACCCTCAAGCTGGAAACTTCTAATTTCAGCAATAGAGAGCTACCTCATGGAGGCTTGCAAGTAACCAAAATGTCTGTACATAGAAAACCTCACTTTGGCACTTGGGAGGTAGAGGCACACAGATTAGGAATTTAAGGTCATCCTGTGCTACATGAGATCTTATCTCAAACAAAACAAAACACCCACATTGAGGACCAAGTCAGTTTTATTTGCTTTGAGACTTGGCTCCTTAACTGGCAACATCAGCTGCTTATGTATAAATTCACTTACATGATTCCCACCCCACCCCCCAACACGTGGCCCTCTCTGTTGGTTCCCTTACATAATGAAGCTAGCCAGGGCATGGTTCATGACTTGCATTTAAAGTTTTCAAGAAACTTTTTGGAATTCTTTACTTAAAAGTGACATAAATACCCTATGACTAATATTTAATTTGATGAGCTGCAGTCAGGGACCCTTATCCTTTCTCCTTTTGCAATTTTATCACTTCGCATTAACTTTTAAAGGTTTAAATATGTCATCCCGTCACGACTCTGTAAGTTTTAATTATCAAAGCAGCTACATCAGTTTTTACCAAAAGCAGAGTGACCTTATTTTATAGCTGAAACAAAACCCAAAGCTCAGTCCCAGCAGCAGGCACTTAATAGGTCATTCCATAAAGATTTATCTATACTTAGTGGATAGAGGAGAATTTCAAACAGGGTCAAACCATGCACTCACCTATCTTTAATCACTTAAGGCATGTCAGGATTTTCTCCCATTAAAGGCTGCATGACGTCTGTTTGTTTGTTTGTTTGTTTGACGAATCAAAAAAATAAAAACAAAACTACTATCTTCAACAATTTAGAGGATAGAAAATTCAGCGACTAATTTTAATATAACCACAGGGGAAACAGAAACAAGCTAGTTTTATTTCTGCAGAAGGTAGCTTCTCTATGGGATCGGAGAAGCAAACAGGGTTTCATAACTGTATTTATACACCTGGCATAAGAAACGAGTCCTCCAGAATGAAAGCAAAATCTAGGGCAGAAATAGCTGGGTGTTGGAGGGAGGTGGGCATGCGTGTAGGAGAGAGGGTGAGGGACAAGCGTCTCCTGTCTCTTAGGTTTAGAAATACCAATTTCGACCTGTCTTCTCGCTTACTTTTGTGCCGTGCAGTTCTTTGAAGAGATGTGATTAAAATCCTCGGCCTCTGCACTCCCATTCCCACTCCCACCATCCCCTTCCCTAGCAAAATCTGTTGCCAGTGTCTTTTCTGTGGCCCTTTCTTGTGTGGGATTTCTCTGCGGACTACCAGCTAAATCAGGAAAAGGTCTTGGCCACAGCTCACTGCTTCAGTGACTACTGTGAGGCCAGCTGGGGACTGACAGCCTCAGCCCCTACAACCACTTGCCCACACAGATGCAACTGCCTTGAAAGGCAGACGCTTTCCCCTGTTAACCTCATGCGGAAAAATGAAACCGGGAAGTGCGGCGATCGTTCATGCAGTTACCCCCTGCTCATTCTAGGAAATAGAACCAAAGAGATGTTCCGCCGGAGTGAGACGGGATTTTTCTTAACAAATAAACATTTCACATGCAGAATCAGTACCAAATGTGGGTTGCAGAATTCTCTGAAGAAAAAAAAATGGCTTGTTTTTCTTTTTCTTTCTTAAAATCTTCCTATCAGTGAGGAGCTGAAGTAGTCTACGGTGGTGTGGAGGTTGGAGAGTAGATGTTTGGTGTTTCGAGAATAGGCCTCGTTTTCTTGATTTTACAAAGCATCCTTAAAACATACATAAGGCTTTATAAATTATAATTTTGTCATTACAGGTAAGAGTATCCTTTCAAGCACGTTTTGGAGGAGGTCTGAGGGAAGGGGATTGTTAACGACGTTTGCGATCTCTTAGTTGGCTGCTGGGATTTTCTCTAGAGTGTCATTTGTCTGCTTTCCCAAGCCCACCTTTCCCCACCTGGGCAGCCTGTCCATTGACGAACAGTATAAGCGAAGACGCAGCAGCTGACTACCAAATGGAATCCACATCCTGACAGGGGTGCCCTCAAAGCCGGCCTTGTTCCGGCTCTTTCCCTGTAAGCTTGTTCTGTTGGTTAGCAGCCTCTTGGATCTGCTTTAGTAGTGAGGAGTTTGCTTGCTGGGACCTGCATGCCTAAATGAGCAGAGATGGGCGAGCCTTCCCACCCATGATCTTGCTGTGTAATCACAGCATTCCCTGCACTGTGGGAAGGCCGAGAGCCTCCTGCAATCCAGATGTCACGTGAGCCAGCAGTACCTCTCCTCCAGATTCCTCAGGCTGAGAGAGACTTGTAGCTTAACTAAGGACCAGAGGAGCTTAGCCTCACAAAGTAGACTCAGAACGAGAATCAAATGACCGAAGGCGAGCGCGCGTGCGTGCGTACGTGTGTGCATGCGTGTGTGCATGCGTGCGTGTGTGTGTGTGTGTGTGTGTGTGTGTGTGTTTGTGTTGGGGATGGGTGCACAGACGACGGAAGACCGGTGTCATTTGAGTTCATGCTGTGTAGTCAGACAGATAGTCTGGCTTCCTAGTGATTTACTGGGAATATCTAGTCCCTTCATCGTTTCAGTGGCGGACCCAATTCTTCTCATCTCTGAAATGGAAATAACTAGGTTCTAAAAAGCATATGTGAGAGCCAAAGTTAACTACTTGGCATATAGTTAATGTTCAACAAATACAAACTATTATCCGTAAAGGCAAACAGACATGAGGTTTCCAAATGCCATATGGCAGCCGACTATGGTGGCCCACACCTTTAATCCTTGGGAAACAGAGACAGGCAAATATCTGTGAGTTCTAGGCTAACCTGGTCTACAAAGCGAGTTCCAGAACCACCAACGCTGTTACATAGAGAAACCCTGCCTCAAAAAAGTAAAATAAAAAAAACAACAAAAACAAAACAAAATCAAATGTCACATAATTCTGTTATCTTTGAACAAATATCTTGAATGGGCAAGTGCTGGGCATATTTAACTTAGCTTTAAAATACATCTTTCACTTCAGTTCTGCAAACGTTGCTTTTGTGTGGAGTAACTTCTGTGCAGAGAAGCGGGCACGAAGACAAGCTCCCAGCTGAGCATTTTTGCTTTACGCTATGCCTGGCCTCTACAAGTTGTCTAATGAATATTTATGAATCAGTACTAATACATGTCTACCTCAGAGAATTGCAGCCCAGTATCCTCTGACCTTTCTTCCTGTCTCCCTTGTTTTCTGGGGTCTTGATACTGACAATTATGGTTGTAACATCTATTTTTATTAAACGAGAAAGGGACAAAATTAGGAAAATGAAAGGCTTGGGTGCACTTGGCTCTGCTGCTTTTTTAAAACGCGTATTAACTATTAACGTTAACTTTGTTCTGGGCATTCTGCCAGCTGCTTTTCTCATTGCTCTATCTTTTAGTCATTTCAAGAACATAAAAGGAAGTTATTTCAGCTGAGAATCTGAGAAGTTATGCAGTCTGTTCTAAGCTAAACAGCTTGAAGTGGTGGAGTCCTAAGCTCTCATATCTAGAAATATCTATTTTTCACTTCTCAAATATTGTTGGAGGACCCACTATGTGCTATTCACTTTGCTAGGCACTAAGGGCACCATGGTGAACAAAAACAGACTGCTCCTGCTTCTCACGGGCTGCTAGATTACTGAAGAAGGCTGACAGTAGATGGGCCATTGCAGTTCAGTATCACAAGGTAGAGAGTGTGGGTGGGTGGGGTAGGTCTTACAGGCAGGAAGGATCTGGGCTTGCAAAGACTCAGGGGTGGAAAAGAGCAAGGGACTTCTGACACTCTGCAAGGAGTTACTACATCACCCAGTCCATTATAATCAAGGCATGGGCAGAGCACCACGGGCTCTCAGGAGGAAGCCACTTCTGCTGCCTGGTTAAGTCAGACCAGGCACAAGCTTGCTTGAAGTATTGCACCGATAAGGCTCTCGGGATGTTTCACAAAGTGGTAATAATGGGCTCTGGGGTGATTATGCTCATTTCTATGATTAGAGTTTTTCAAAATGAAATGGAATTTAAAGACTCTCCACAGTTATTCCTTTTCTTGATCCCCATCACATGAGCTGAAAGGCAGCCTTGACTGAGTTAGACATAAAAAATAAGCTATAGTGGCGTGTGTGTGTGTGTGTGTGTGTGTGTGTGTGTTTATGATACATGTGAGGACCAGTGTAAGATCTTCATGTGTGTTATGGACACAAATCTCTCCTAATAATACCAGTTGGGCCTGTATACCTAATGCTTGTCTCAGGCTGTGTCCTTGAGCTATACAGATTTTAAAGACTCACTGAGCCTCCTTATAACCCTACGAAGCAGGATCAACTATGTCTAGTGCTTCCCATGAGGAAACTGAGGCACTGGTATATTAAGGGATGTGTGTTCACACAAAGAGTA